TACATGTCAAGTTTCATCACGATCCGTTGAGCGATGTAGAAGTTTATCACTTACCAACGAACCAACCAACCAATAAACATCCATTTTTATATAGTAGATTGATTATTTTATAATAATTATGATTTTTCATCACCTTCTTTATTTTAAAAATCATTTGATCAAAGTACCAGTATCAATCGCTTTGTTCGATATTTTGAGTTATAATAATTTCATATTAGGTTTGCAGTACACTATTTTCCTAATGTTTTTCGTCTTCTGCTCCTTTCACTCGACAGGAAATGATGAAAAACAGTTGGGAAAACTATCCGAGTATATGACACTCACTAATGAAACCTAATAGTTAAAAATGAAACATTACTATCATCCATCACGATATGAACCACTTTCCCATTGAATTCTCAAACAATGGAATGTCTTTCCATTCGGGGCAGTGGATTTAAAATTTTTCACAATACGCATCGACGAATGTAACGGGTCGAGTTATGTGACGTGAAAACGTGAGAATTTTAAGCAAGCGATACTAGCTTATTATGCTAATGATTTGTACTTTTTCATCAATCGTGAACGGTACTTAATTTGTCATGCAGAAATAACATTGTCGATTTTGGTTAGTGTTTTGATTTACAGTTTTAATGAGGTCTTCAAGAATTATTAGGATCATTTTGAAATAATGACGTTTTTACTTCGTTTGTGGAAAAAAGTTTACAAATTCTATGTAATGAAAAGTTCATTTGTTGAAGGGTAAAATGGAATTTTTGAGAAAATAAATCAGACCTGAATGGTTTTCATAAAACTAACATTAATTTGACTACCGCAAAAAAATTAAAAAAATAACTATTTCAAATCATATTAAATCACATCCTAGAATAGTAACTAACAAAGAAATCTAACTAGAAGCATGAAAGCCCGAAACAAGTGTTTCGAGCTACCTGCGGGTCCAGGGAGTGTCTTGATATAGATACAGAAGTTAATAATTGGACATAGCACTCAAGAAATCCTTATGGGGAGAAAATACACAGAACACGGAGCGAAACCCGAGAAAACAGCTCATATATTATCCGTGAGAATCTTCGAGTTAACATATATATAAAGTTTAGGGCACTTGGATGATTTCTCTCTTGGAATCAGATGTCTTTTGATTTCGTCGTCGATAGGAGAATTATTGATGGCAGTTTTTGTGGTTTTCTCTAGATAGGTAGTTGGATCTCTAACTATTTTCTTGTAGGCTGGATCCTCTAGTAGTTTCATCATTTTGGATTCATAATCTATGGTGTTTAACACTACTGTTGCATTGCCTTTGTCTGCTGGTAGGATGATGATATCCTCATTCTCTCGTAGATTTTTCAGTGCTTGGTATTCTTTATGGGGTATATTTCTGGTCGGCGGTTTTGCATTTTTGAGTACGTGTGCAATGTCCTGTCTAATTGACTCTTGCGTCTCCTTGTCGTCTATTCTATTCAGGGCTGATTCTACATTGCTAATTATATTTTCAACCGGTATGCGGCCTGGTGCGACCGCGAAGTTGAAACCTTTAGCTAGCGCCTCAGTNTTAAAAAGGAAATACGGAGATTCGCAGTAGGATTCAATTTCTATATGAAGAGCAATAAAGTATAGAAATGAAAATGTTTCATATTGTTGAGATGAGTAGAGATGATTTATGAAGAACTTTCGTAATTGTATTTAGGACAAATATTACTGCGTATATTTAGTCAGGTATATCTGATTTTTCACGATACTTCGTCGCACAATCCTTGCGGGCAAGTCCACGACCTATCAATCTACCAAGAGAGATCTCATTCAAATAGTGAGGTACCCAATCTTGTTAAAATATCAACTCATTCACATTGTAACGGTCACTATGTTCAAGAATGTCCTCGACAATGTCTGTCAGTTATAATGTTGATCTCAAGGATATCAGTAAATGGAATGTTCATAATTCATCATATCTGCTTTCAACCGAAGATAGCAAAAACTGCATTTTTTTCATTTGCAAGTCTTGCATTGTGAACAAACAAGTAAAACCATTCTTGATTAACATCTTGCCAACTACGCAAGGCACAATTAGTCTTAAAAGTAAAATTATGATTCACAATTATGTGCTTCGACTGAACTATGAAAGAATACAGCTTCATAAAGATTTTGTTCTGAATATTGATTTGTTTGTGGGCGTGTTGCTTCTCCATCTCATAAAACAGTACGAAACTTTCAAACTAACCTTCTTGCAACATGGTGACGCACTTGTCATTTGATGAAAAGTTCTACGTTTCGAGGTTCTGAAGAATTTCCGATGTAATGTTCAGAAATTCAGGAATAATCCATAAACGTAAATCATCCAGACATAAGTTTCATAAATTGTTGTCCCCACAAAAAAATCTAACGTATCTGAATCTGGTGACCTTGCGGGCAAGTCCACGACCTATCAATCTACCAAGAGAGATCTCATTCAAATAGTGAGGTACCCAATCTTGTTAAAATATCAACTCAATCACATTGTAACGGTCACTATGTTCAAGAATGTCCTCGACAATGTCTGTCAGTTATAATGTTAATCTCAAGAATATCAGTAAATGGAATGTTCATAATTCATCATTTCTACTTTCAACCGAAGATAGCAAAATCTGCACTTTTTTTTATTTGCAAGTCTTGCATTGTGAACAAACAAGTAAAACCATTCTTGATTAACATCTTGCCAACTACGCAAGGCACAATTAGTCTTAAAAGTAAAATAAGAGTAGCATTGACTCTTCGGCAGATTTTTTCAGAACAGTTTCACTGCATCAAATTCAAATTATGCCTAGCGTTGAGAGAATCAATCGATGACCTTCTGAACGAGATATCATCAGACCCCTAGTCCAATTTGAGATTCAAGGATTCCCTTTCCATTGCTTCACCCTTTATTTTTGTCAAAAATTTTCGTTAAAGAGGTTTTTGGGTTTTGAAGATCAACTCCGCAAACTTCCGAAACTTTTCCTTTTTCTACAGATTTCTATCAAAAAATAAGCAAAATTGTAATTCAACTTACGCAACAAACTTGTCTTCTCTCATTTGTAATACAATTTTAATAATTTCACAGGAAGTAGCGAACTTCATGTCAAGTTAAATGTCGTCTAACAGTCACATTTCCGATAAACAAGCTTATGTATAAGGGTTGTTATCAATAACAGACCAGGCATGTTTCCTTGATTATATTATCTGTTTACTCAAAGGAACATTTCTATGAAAGAGTTTATTCAAATTGACGTAGGAAACGGTGAACCCACACCGGTATTCACCTTGTATGTTTCTACAAAATGTGAGGCTCTAAGTAACGTTCTCTGGTTAAGTCCTGAGAAATTTTTTATAG